AATGGATGTATGAATGAATTGTATAATATATATATATATATATATATATAAATAAAAGTGTATAAGGGTTAAGTAGTGATAGGAATAAGTAGTTAAACAACGTTGTTTGCTTCTATCTTTTCTTTATTTTTTTTATTATTATCTTTACAATAAATGCGGCTTTTTGCCTTATCCCTCTCATAAGATCCTGCTTGCTTTTATTTGGTATAACACCTCTGCCCCTTCTCCCCCTCCTCCCAACATTCCCAAACCCTCTGGTCTCCCTCTTGCACCGATATCCTCTCTCAGATCTGGCATCCCAACCTCCTACCCTAGCTCACACCCCGAGCCCTTTCATTCCAGTCCCCTGCCCTAGGTCACAACCACCTGCTTCAGCACAATGCCCTCCCAGACTCCAGTCTCCCTCCTGCACCCTAAGCCCTTACTCCAAGCTCCCTTCTGCACCCAACCTCCATCCCAGACCTCACATCTCCTCCATTAATATCATGGAAGAGTGCAGCCCTCGACTACTTTCCAAAAATCTTGGAGTGGCCTCCCCCCATCAAAAATCATTGTTTACCCCCGCACTAGTCCACACTTCCCTAGCAAGAGGCCTGTGGGGTTAGGACAACAGCTGAAATACTACACGCATGGGGTTGGAATGGGATTTCAAGAGCCCCATGGACTTGACAACTCCCCCTGGGGCACGACCCCACAACAGTCCCAAAGAGACAAGTTGTCTAGTTCTCTTCAATATCAGCACCAGTGATTTAGATAACAGCAGAGAGTACACTAATGAAGTTTGAAGATAATACCAAGCTTTGAAAGATAATATTATAACTCAAAATGATCTGGAGAAATGGTCTGATGTAGACAGGGTGAAATACAAAAAGACAAGTGTCAGTAGCCCAGTTAAAAAGGAATTACCAGCTGCACATACATAAAATGAGAAATGATGGCCTAGGAACCAGTACTGCAGAAAGGGAGTGATCCATGAATCAAGCTAAAAGTGAGTCAGTATCAACTGGTGGGGCAGGGGCAAATATTCTAAGATGCATTAGGAGGAGTGTTGCAAGCAGGATACCTATAGTAATTCTTCGACTATACTCTGCACTGGCCTCAACTGGATTACTGTGTCCAGTTCTGGGTGCCACATTTCAGGAAAGGTATGGACAAACTGGAGAAGGTCCAGAGAAGAGCAACAAAAATGATTAAAGATCTAGAAAACCATGACCTATGAGGAAGGATTTTAAAATAAATGGTTTATTTACTCTGGAATAAAGGAAACAGGGGGACACTAACAGTTTTCAAGTACATAAAAGGTTGTTACAAGGAGAAGGTAGTTAAAATGTTCTCCTTAACTGCTGAAGATAGGACAAGAAGCCAATGGGCTTAAGTAATGGACATTAGGAAAAACTTCTTGTCAGGATACTTAAGAACTGGAATATATCATCTAGGGAAGGTGGTCTAATCTCCAGTCATGGAGATTTCACAAACACCTGTCCAGGATGGTCTATACCAGTGGTCCCCAACCTTTTGGGGCTGCCGGGCCAAGTGGGGGCGGCACCGTGCATGCACCATGCGCCCAGGGAGCAAGAATGTCTCAGGCCGGCCCTGGTCACTTGGCGGGTGTACATAAATGCACCGGCGGGCGCCATGATATCTGCAGGCACTGCGCTGGGGACCACTGGTCTAGACAATTTTTAGTCCTACTATCAGCGTAGAGGACTGGACTAGATCAGTGATTTCCAAATTGTCGGTCCATGGACCGCTGCCTGCAGGGCCACGGCACACTGCCGAGTGCAGGGGCGGGTATTGCTCTAGGTCCCAGCAACAGCACGCAGGGACTCTGGGAAGGAGCTGAAGCCCCCTAGTGTAGCTAGGGCCCAATGGCTGATCACTGGGCTCGGCCCCCACAGCAGAGAGGACTTGTAGCCACTGCTCACAGAGACTCTGGGGCATACTCTGGGCTAGATACCTGAGTCCTGACGGGAGGGCAGAGTGGCTGCTGCTGCTGCTTGGCCCCCAGAGCCCAGGCTGCAGCCGGGAGGGGGAATCTCTAGGTGGGCTGGTCCCTCCGCTCCAAGGAGTCTTTCCCAGGGCAGCACCCCCAGCCCAGCCAGCCCCAGCCTAGCCTTGCTCCTACCCCAGGGCAAGCAGTGCTTGGGGGACAGGTAAGACACACCCTCTTCCTCATCCTCCTGGGAGCAGGACCCTGGAGTCTCAGGGCTCTGGGTGGGGAGAAGACTGGCCCCAGGCAGCTCCCAGCAGAGCTGCTGCAATCCCTGCCTGGGGCCCAGGGAAGCTGCTGCCAGCTCCCAGCATGTGTGGGGTGGGGAGAGCCAGCCCTGGAGGGTCATCAGGGGGCTGAAGAGGGGCAGGGGCAGATAAGGGGAACAAGGGGAAACAGGGAAGTGTGAACTGAGGGCAGGAGGGAAATGCAGAAGGCACTGAAGGGATGTTGGGGGGAACTCAGGGGAAACTTATGGGGCAAATGGGAGCAGGAGAGCAATGGAGGGAAACTCTGGAGAAGGGAGGGAAAAGGGGGGGATGCTGGGAGGGGAGGCTGGGGGGAAGACTGTGGGAGCAAGAGCAGCCTGGCTGGGGAAAGGGGAGACACAGGGCAGGAGTTGTACAGAAGGGAAGGGGGAGATACAATGGCAGTCCCTCACCCCATAGGACAGGAGGAAGGGAGGGAAGAGGTGACTGGTAGTAGCACTTGGGGGCACCCGCTCCAATGCCCTTGATAAAATTTCTAAAGTTGCAAAATAGGGTGCCCCAAATGCCTCCTGCCCCTGTAGGTGCCCCTATCTGTGCCCCTCCATCTGCAGTCGCCCCGGGGGAGGGGCTGCCCCACCCAGCAGCCAGAGGGGAATTCTTTCTGTGAATTTTTTTTAGCATTGGAGATATCTGCAAACTCTGATCCGTCATGGAATGGAAACATTTTATTTGCATATTCACATTCATTTGCATAAATAATCTGTAAATAAAATGTTACCGGTTCACCAAAAGTTTGTGAACGCGTTTGCCAGCCTGTGGTATAAAAAAGGTTGGGAACCACTGGACTAGATGACCCCTCCAAGTCCCTTCCCAGAGTCTCAGGATTCTACTTGCATGTGCTAACAGGCAGCAACTGTAACTTCTTAAATACTTCCATCTTTCCAATGCTTCTGACTGCTTCAACTGGAGTGGCCATTGTTGTCATCTTGAACTAACAGTTGAGCAGGATTTCATAAATGCCAGAAGACCCAACAAAGTCTGAACTCCCTTTGTGTGTGTGCAGCTGCACCTCCATCACCATCATACTGCAAAACTTCATGATTTAAAGTCAACATGCACAAAGTGAAGATCAGCTGAAATATTCTTGATAGTACTCCCTAGATGAGTTTTGAGATAGCGGAGAAGTGGCAGGAAAGAAGTTTGCAATGGGGTTCCTCAACACTGGAATTTGATCCTCCTATTGAGGAGTGGGAGTGGTAGCAGGAGTAAGAAGGGGAAGAAATCTGTTTAGTTACTCAGGAGTTCTGTCTAGACATTTTGCTTTAACTTGTAATATTTTTAAAACATCACAATCGACACATGTGCAAAGAGATGAAACACACAAATAGCACAACATATTAGTTTTAATTTACAATTTCCACAGTTTATGTTTCTGCTGACCACTAGTACTACATGAATATATTCCTGCCTACCATCCAGAATTCTGCCAACTGTTTCAGAAAAAGCTTCAGTCAAAAATGCCTTACCTCATTTTCTGAAGATCTTCTTGTGCATTTGCTAATGCTGTTTCCGCAAGCTTTGCTCTGTGTTCTGCACATTTCAACTGTTCAAGGATTGCTGTGTTATCAGTTAACCCATTGGGGTATGAAATGTTTGTAGAATCGTAAAGATCTTCTATGTCTAATGAAATAGAACAAATGTCAATCACTGTCAACTGACAGCATTACCTAATTACAGATGTGCATAAATATATAGAGGATAAATTAAATGCCTGACTCCTCTGCCTTAATTCATTAAACTAGTGTTTCCCAATTTTAATTTGGCCACAGAACCCTTTTAAACCTAGAGGCTATGTCTACACTGGTGCGATTTTGCTCCAGAGCTATGCAAATGAGGCTAAGCGTGGAATATTTGCATTTTATATATATATATATATATATAT